TTTTTTTAAATAAAATGTATTAAAGTCGATGGGAATTTATTGTACAGCACATCACAATCACACACAAACACTGGATACTGTGTTGCCTCAGTCACTACTGTCAACTAAAATAGCAGTTTAATAACCAGAGGCCCCCCGAGTGGTGACTTGTGCCACCACCTTTCCTTCGGCAACAGGAAGGTCAGAGGTCAGCCGCAGTAAGGCGGTCTGAGGACACAGATCAGACAGGTAGATATTTGGATATACTGTTTGCATACTCTTCCCACCAGACTGGCCATGTTTTCTAGTTCTATTACAGAGCTAGGCTTGAGGTTTGACCACTAATGTCCAATTGTGAACTCAAAAGATGTGACACAAAAGTCACAACATAACATCAAGGTTTAATATTAAATTCTCGTCGGCCCAGTAGATCAGTAGGTTTGGCAAAAATAAGTGTTATAGTAACTGCAAGGTTATCAGATTCATGGTTATAAATAAACCTAGATTTGATGCCATTGAGTCTGTTGGACAAGTAGAAACAGAGCTGAGCTGAGAGCATTGGGTCAATGAGCAAGGTTTGAAGATATAAGCTTTATTTCATTATTGCGCAATAAATGATCAAAACAACATCCACCTGCTTCGTAAGAATGGGGAAAGGAAACATGAGAATGACAAGGCGGTTTGCCTGACTTTGGCTGATGTACGGCTCTGATCAGATCAGTGGAACTTTAGCAGTGTGGGAACGGGGATTTCCAGCGAGCCAGAGACTGACGGCTTCACCTCGGGACGCCACGCTGAGACAAAGAGCGCAGAGGAAGAAAATACGACAGCGGAGCAGCGAGCGCTAGAGGGCAAGCTTAGAATAACCTCGCCATCTACCTGAGCCGAGGTTGACGGGTTCGAAGTTGGCCCGGGCACACACACAAAGGAGACACACACCTCAACGTGAACACCAGGTCGCACATATACATCACACTGAAATACATAATGAATGAGCTAACACGAACCCAGGACGACCCATTCAACAGCTGTGTGCGAGTATGCGTTTGCATGTAGAGCTCAGACATTTCTGACATTCCTTCCTGTGCCCTGCAGCGACATCCGCTCAGTCTTCTGTTTTTCTCTCCCCCCTCCCAGCTCCCTCTGTCCTCACTCCGTATCGCATGAAATCTCCACATTATCATATCACGTCCCGATCAAAAGGCGAAAACTAAACTTTTTGTCCTCAAGACTGCTCTGAACCCTTGATTCTACCAAACCACACAGGTAGCCGCTGTAATGATACATGTGAAAGAAATGTCATTATTTTAAATATGAAACGTCAGAACATCTGCTGATGCTTCCAGTTGTGAAGAGTTGCAGCTCTTGTGTCTGTCCCTTTGGTAGAGATACTTCTAATATGCTACGCCTGGTCCATCTTCTAGAGGATTCTAAGTGTGTTTTGGACCACACATTTACAAAAACATTTCCCACACAGAACGCATCAAATTTTGCCAACAATGCTTTGCTTGCCATTTACAGCTTCACCAAAATCTTCATGTTTTTTATGGCGTTGACCTTAGAGCGCAGTATAGCCAGTTTTACTGGTTCCCAATCCTTTATATACAGTTGTTGCCAGTACCTAAAGTCAAGATTGTTGCTGGATGATTGCTGAACTGCTGCTGCACCTACCTACTACTACTACTGCATCAACCTGAAGGAAATGCTCAGAAATATCAAGCTGTGTGGCGTATTAGTGGAAAATCATCTATATATTCATCTGCTGTATGCATCTCTCTTAATCACATTTTTGTTTTCATGTACAGAATTATTTATCATCAATTCATGTATTCAGTGGAGCCTTAAAGCAGATATTTTCACATTCAGTTAATAAATAAAATGAGTTTATCAACCAGTCAATCAACCAATAAATCATCACAGAGGATTGTTGGCTCCCCAGTTGGTTTATGGACATTTCAGTCAATGTGTCACTACCTTCACTGTTTGGAGGTCAGGCATTAATGCCAGAAACCTTTACACCTCCTTCATTACATATCATCAGTGTCCTGACTATTGTAGTTGCATCTGGCAGCTGCCACCCCAGTCAGGGACTGTTCAATTTAACACATTATGATTTATTTAAAAAATAACGTGTTGAAAATACAAATCAATATATCATTTTTAGGATTTGCAGTTAATGTACTCCTTAAAGTCTCCTTGCCACCCCATGAATATTGCTCAGGCCCTGTCTAAAAAGCAGATTATGGAGCTACATCTCCATCAAACATGTCAGCTAAAAAGCTGAATCCTCTTAATTCTTAGTTCATATGTGTCACTCCTCTGTAGTTTTACAGATGTTATGTCATGTTATGTCAGGGCAATGTAGCTAGCTCTTTTTACCCCTGACTTTTACAAATAGCTGGAGGATTTTTGTCATTGACTCAGTGTTATTGTTGTGGAGTCATGTTAACTTTCATGTCTAGATTTTTTCTGTTTTTCGGGCATCAGTGTGGCTCCACTTGCTGCTTGAGAAAAGCGGCTAGAGGGCAAGGTTGAAACTATACCAGAGCGTAGAGATAAGAAGAAGATATACTTTATTAATCCCTGAGGGGCAAATTGTTGTTTTACCTATTTTTTTTTTTTTAATTTTTTTTTAAACACACACACAGGCTGAAATACACACTTTCATGCACTTGCGGACATGCAAACAGGGAGAGAGTCATGGGGCATTAACAGCGCCCCATGAGCAGGCTTGGGGTTAGGTTGCCTTGCTCAAGGGTACCTCAGCAGCGCACAGGAGGTGAAACTTGCACCTCTCCACACTCCATATTTTGTAGTCTGTGGGATTTGAACCGGCAACCCTCCGGTTCCCAAGCCAAGTCCCTCCACTACTGCCGCCCCTAATAATAATGTGTGAAATTCTCATTTTCAGTAAGGTTTCATTGCTTTTTCACATCCGTTGCAGGAACTAACTCCAAACACTCAGACTGCAGACTGTGGGTTTTTATGTTTCTTACTGTTTTGTATTTAATCCAGGCTGTTGTTCTTGCTTCTTTAAACATAAACTAAATAGAAGAAATTTCATGGGAAAGACAGATTCTCTCATACTTCAAATGTTTCAATCTGCAAAAGCCCCTCTCTACTGAAAAATAGATTTTGCTTATTGTTACTTCCCATGAATGTTTGACCTTGACTATGTAGAGTTTGACTCTAAGCTGTTTTTTAAATTAATATTCCAAGGAGAGTATTTTGATATGTCTGGAGGGAATCTTTAACAACAATTTTATCATCGACAGTCTGTGATAGAACGTAGCAAAAACAGATTTTTATTTTTATTTATATGACTGTTTGACAAGTCTACAGATTAAAGCTTTATCCAAAACACTTCTATTTCAGTGTTAACAGCTACATGCTAAGCTGCAGTGTTGATTCATGCAAATAAATATTCAAAGTTATGACTGAGCAGGTGTTGGTTGTAATCGTACAGGAGGCATGCCTACAGCTGTGTGTGTGTGTGTGTGTTTGTGTGTGTGTGTGTGTGTATATATATGTCTTTTGGCAACCTTCTAATGAGATGCCTGTGTTTCCCTCCATTAGTAGTTTATTAGATAGCATGGGTCGCTGAGGTTTGTAAAATACAGTAAGCTTAATTTAGCACATTTGGCACTACAGGGGCATAGGGGACTTAAGGGAGTATCAAGGGCATGGACAACTGGCATAGCTTGGGATGTAAATTAGAGTTGCCAGCAATAATAGGTGAGCTGTTGAGCACAGCCAACATTCCCCCTTAACAAAGCATTTACTTATTAAACTGTATTAGAGGTGCTGATGACTGTGAATATAATGTGTAACTGGGATTTGAAGCACCTGACAAATTGTAGTTAATTCTATGCTGCCGCTTTAAAAGTAGTAATCAGCTTTTTTTTTTAATTCTTGCCTGTGGTCAGATCACGTTGCAATCAAACACGGTCACCAACACTGAGAAGCATTTTCCTTTCAGCAGACTTTGTGTTGGTGGTAGTCTTTTATTTTAAACAATCACTGGTTCTGCTGTTGCAAATGTGTTGAATTATTCACTTTCTTAGTCTCTGAGTACTGCTCCAAGGGAAAGACCTACCTGACATTTAAAGCAACAAAGGCTTTGATAAATAGCTTTGAAAGTGATTCATATCTTACCATTTCAACTAGCCTATAACCTACTATATACTGTATGTTTATTTCACATTCCCTGGTAAAAAAAAAACCCCAGAAAAACCCAAACTGTTTTTATATATGATGACCTATACATTACAGTCTATGTACAAAGGAACAAATCTACTTGAGTTAATGTGCAGAACCCCATAAAACATTCTCTGTATCTTCTCATTCTCTGTTCTCTCTTCAGTAAGTATGAAGGAGAAAGTATATAAAGTGATTTTTACAGAGAACACTTTATTGTTGTTATTTTGTGGGTGAAAGAAAGATACACCTAGTTATCTTTGTCGGCTTGACCTCAAACAGACACACAGATGCACACACACAATATAATTTATAGTTAGCTGGTAAGTGACAGATAGACCCATTTTCTCCACCGTTCATGTAACCTTTTCTGTCTGAGGCTATCAAAGGTCACTCCGTCAGGCCTGATTTACTGTAGGAGCCTCTCTCTTTGTCTCTCTCTCTCTCTCTGAGACTCCCCTTCACATTAGTCTGTCTCTCTATCTGAAGCCTCTTTTAGACATGCACTGTATGTAATTCATAATAGCTCTGTCAATTTAATATGCTGGTGTCAAGTTTGACGAGGACCCCAAGTCATTTCTATGTAAAAGTCACTAGCAGTATGTCTAATTTGGAACTGGTAACATTTCTTTAACATTTTCTACACCGATCAGATGAGAGTAGTAGTATCAAAGACTGCATGTATAACATTTTTAACTATGCTAGCAGCATGGCTCTAGGGCTTCAGTCTTTCAGTCCACCACTTTGTTCCAGACTGAAACA